CGAAGAACATTTTAACAACGTGTTCTTTGAATGCCTGTTTTCCAAGCAACAACGTTTTGTAAATAATTGATAAAATAAAGTTTGTTAGCTTAAAGCGAGACAGCGTCGTCTTTTCCGTTGTCTTCACAGCTTACGCGCCCACGCGCTTCGACAAACCCGTCCTTGTACGAAGTTGGCCAAAACGAATTTGGGGGGGCACTATTTATGCAAATTATACAAGCTTTGTTTTACATTACAAATTCCGACCTTTCTAAGTTTTGTTTCAACTTGAAACTGCTTTAAAAATGGGCAGAGTGCTTTTCACCTTTTTTGGTTGTAATCGCCCCTTTCTGAATTTCAAAAAGAGCGTAGGGAAATTCTTCCAGTTTTTTTGTTAAGCTATGTTCGTATTGCGTAATAGTCTCGTAGATTTTCTATACTTGTTGCTCCTCGTTGAGCAAGAAGTGTTTGTTTTTTTATTATCAGCATAAGTTGAGTTGGTTTGCTGAATTCGTCACTTCTTTGGATGGAAGGGAATTTTGGGTTGCAACGCGGCAAAAAAGCAGACATAGCGCCAGACAACGGCGTACGAGCTCAAGCGTACGGGCAAACCAGTTTGCCTATGAGGAGAGTGCCACGTTTCGATTGGGCGTCTGTGTATAATATCAGACGAGTGAATGCCCCTCCGCGTGTCACACGTTGATTTGCAACCGCTTTTCTGCGCGCTTTCTCCATCTTCCTTCAACTGCACGGCTTTGCTTCTGTTTATCTCTAAGCGCTGCGCATCATCCTAACGCACTCGGAGCAGAGAAAACGATGGCCACAAATACGGTGCATTCAGATTTCTTATCTTCTTAAAACTTATGTTACTTTTATTCACCTCCGAACTACTATGTTGTATGTGTATAATATTGTTTTTCTTTAAGGGAAGACTCACTGGTCCGCTCATCTTTGCCATATGCGCTTCGGCACTTGGTTCGTCGTTTATTTTCGGCTACAGTATTGGCGTCATGAACGCTCCCGAAAAGGTGAAGAAGACATCAAGTTGACCATTTTTGAGAATTGTCGGTCGCCATCTTGACGCCTCTTTTTTTTTGCTACCCTCTTTGCATACCGGTTTTTGTTGCATTCTATTCCACTTTTGACCTTTCGACCCTTATTCGGCGACAGCGCGCATATATAGGGGGTCAGAGTTGGCACGCGTATCGGAGATCCATTGATTTTTTCAATATCCCTTTATTTTATAAAGCGTTTTGTTATTTTAAAGAACAGCTTTTGGAAACTCCTTTTAAGGTGATCAAAGCATGGATCAACTCGACTTCTTCGGCAGACAAACCCTACCAAAAGGAAGACCTGGACAACATCTGGGCGTCGATTGTTGGCTTCATGTCGTTCGGCGGTTTAATCGGCGGTATGCTGTCCGGCTACGTCGCGGACAGGTTTGGTCGGTAAGAAATTTTTTCCGCCTTATTTGCTGCAGTCAATCTCATCTTTGCCGTGCTTTTTCTAGACGCAACGGAATGTTGTTGAATAACGTTATTGCCTTCTTGGGCGCTGGACTGATGGCTGGCAGCAAGTCGGGCGGATCGTTCGTCTACTTGCTGATTGGTCGTATCGTTATCGGCATATGCTGCGGTAGGAATCGACTAATGATTTTCAAGGTCGTACTTTTTGAATTCAAATGCCTGCAGGCATCAACAGCGCCATCTGTCCAATGTACTTGACGGAAATATCGCCAATCAACTTGCGTGGCATGCTGGGCAGCGTCAATCAGTTGGTCGTCACAATTTCCATACTTGTTTCGCAAGTGTTGGGCTTGTCGAGCTTATTAGGAACGGAAACGCTATGGCCCATTGTTCTTTGTAAGCTCGTATGTGCGCGCGCGCGCCATTTTCGTCCCCAATACCTTTTTCAGTGTTGACCATTGTTCCGGCCATTTTCCAACTTGCCACGTTGCCTTTTTGCCCGGAAAGTCCCAAGTACTTGTTGATACATCAGCAAAAGTTGGAGGCTGCCAAAGTTGGTACGCGCAACTTTTCAAGCGTTTGAGCATTGCTTTTGCTTTCCGTTTGAATTGCAGCGCTGCAAAAGCTTCGACAGTCCAACGATGTTGAAGCTGAATTGCAAATTATGACGGACGAGTCGAAGAAGATGTTGGAAACTCCTAAGGTCGTCTCCTCCTTTCCGCAGCGCCCCCACCAATGGGTCCCCTATTGTTTTAGGTGAAGTTTACGGACATGTTCAAAGATAAAGTGCTTCGCTGGGCGCTGTTCATTTGCGTTATGATGATGCTTTCGCAGCAGTTGTCCGGAATCAACGCGGTGAGTAGGCGAGAAAAAAACTTTTGAAATGTATTTATTTGTTATGTTGCTTTTGTTTTGTTTCTTTGCTACAAGCGCGTTCCTCAGTCCATGGTGCATTCAGTAATTTATTCATTTAGAGTTAAAAGCCCAATAGTTACGTAAGTTTTTTAAAACTTGTTAGCCCTTCAGTTCCATTGAGAAGTCAGTAGAGTGCGATATAGATGAGTGGAGCATTGTTGCTTTCAGGTTATGTTCTATTCGACCAGAATATTTGACGAAGGCGCCGGTTTGGGTCCGGAGAAAGCTCAGTATGCAACTATGGGTGTCGGAGCAACCAACGTCATAATGACCATTGTTTCCACGGCGATCATCGATCGAGCCGGTCGCAGAACGCTCCATCTTATTGGCTTGGGCGGCATGTGGGTCACCTCCATTGGCTTAACAATATCAATGGCGCTGCTGGTTTGCTCCTGACAACGCAAAGGCGAGAAAATGGAAATGTGTCAGTTTTTCCTTCTTTCAGAAGCAAGGAATGAACACTGCCGTTCTGTGCATAATTTTCGTCATCCTGTTCGTGGTCGCCTTCGCCACTGGACCAGGTTGGCGCGAAGCATTTTGCTTTGTGCCTTATTTAAATATTTTGACAAATTGGCAGGCGCAATTCCGTGGTTTTTCGTCAGCGAACTATTTATGCAGAATGCGCGCGGTCACGCGACGTCGGTGGCTGTGCCGGTCAATTGGGGTGCCGCTTTCATTGTCGGATGGGCTTTCCCGCCAATGCAGGTCGGTTGGGCAAGCCGTATGCAAATGTTTAAATAAGCAATAGAGCTTATAGAACGCAATTGGAGAATATTCGTTTTTGGTGTTTGCCGGCTTTTTGACCTTCTTTTGGTTGTTCACGTACAAGTTCGTGCCGGAAACGAAGAATCGCTCCGTCGAGGATGTTGTCGAGGGGTTGAAGCGCTCCGTTGGGCAAAAGTGAGAGCGAGAGAAGGAGCAGATCAAAAGTGGAATGCATTTAGCGAAAAGACGAATAATAATACTGCTTTGTTTTCCCAATTTTTAACAGCAATACTTTCCGTATTTTATTACAACAATCCTAAGTGTGACGTCCATTAATAAGTTATCCTCAATCATGCGATCAAACGCTGAGCATAATCATTGTTTCTGCGCAATTTTATTCAAGACGGTATGCGTTGTGTAATGTGTTTTCTTCATGTTCTTTTGCCGTCCTGCAATTGACATCCATTAGTCGACGGCAATGGATATGGATCAATGAGTCGCCTGTGCCTATGGGGCACCTATACGACAAGGATGACACGTTTTTAGTCCGTCTTTCCCGTATACGGTTAGCGAACGAAGTATGGTCGGCGTTGTCGTCTTTGCCGTCGTGTTGGACCAACGATCTTTTGTACAAATTGTTTTTGACGTTTTGAAATTGCACTGTCACTCTCTATTGTAGTATTAAGTTTAATTCCAATCGTTTACTATTGTCCAAAGACGAACTTTCGTTTGTTTTTCGCGACGCGTAGTTTCCTCCTGTCGTTGTTAGCGTAGAAATTTTTCTCGCCCAAATTTCAGCGTTGATCTCATGCTTGAGTAAATTATTTACGACATTTGGAAGGTAATTTGCATACTGGCAGCCGTTTTTGGCGTGACGCGTTCGAGCGCCGTTTCGAACAATTGAATGGTTGCTATGGCCGATGGTTTTGCGGCAACAAAGTAGGCTAATACCTCTTTTCGCATTATCATAATGCCTCGGTTGATTTTTTGCGGTTCAAACGCAGTGATTAAGTGGACGCGAAATGAAGTTGTTACAGTTCAAACAATCGTGCAGCATACTTTTCTCCGTTCTCAGTGATTGTCCAAAAGATAAACAAGAGTAGTCGGGAGACTGCTTATTCATTGCAGTCCCATTTGCTTTTTGGATGTTAAGCTAATTGACTTTCAAAACAATCGTCTAATTGATGCTCAGGTTTCATCTTCGTACAGCCTGAAAAGCGTAGTATACCTTTCATCGCTACGAGAAGAATTTTGAGCAATTCTAAGACGATAATCGCGATTCCTGTGACGAGAAGTCCATTACGTAAATGAAATTATAACATTAGTTCGGTTTCTGCATCGTCACTCCATTTGAAACAGTTTGAATTTTTGAACATACAGTATGGCACGCCAATTCTTAAAGTTCATTGAGCCGCCAGTAAGCACAAGCGTATACGGGAGGGCAATTGATCAATGAATGGTGATTATCAAAATGCCGCAACATATCCTACACTAAGGGGAGCTTTAATTCTGCGGGCAAAACTGTCACTTCGTATGTTTACTAGTAATTCGCAGGTTACTATTCATAAACAAAACAAATCTTATCTTCATTCCTTTATCTTCAGTTTACAACTTAGGTTTGTCAGCTGCCGTATAAATCGCTTTTGGTTAACTTTTGCGAGTGTCCAAAGGTCTTCGAAGTTCCCTCCTTTCGCAAATCTATTTTCATTCGTTCCACACGAAGTATACCGGACAGTTAGTTCGCCCTATTTGGTCGTCCATCTGAGATTTCAGATAGGAGCTTATTACAGACAACTCAACGTTAAGAGGACGGTTAAAACGACTTTATGAATTGCGTCCAATCAAAGCATTTGTAATGAGGAATACTTCCCTTAATTTAGGCATTGCACAATAGATGTTTTAACAAAATAAAACATTCGACTCGTAAAGGTTTATCGCTGTGGACAGGATTCGAACCTGTGCGGGTATAACCCAATGGATTTCGAGTCCAACGCCTTAACCACTCGGCCACCACAGCACGGAGCCATTACGCATATCAACCAAATGTAGAGAAATCAACTTGACCTATTCAGGTTTGCATACATTCCCCATTCCAAGCGTGCCCTCTTACATCGCCAGTCTGTTTGCCCACGGTAACATTAACTCGGATATTAAGGTACTTAGTTCATCCAGGCGATTGGTGAAAATGCTGTTTGCATCTTGAAGTTAAACTCAATGATACGCCATCGCTATTTCACCAACTATAGGTGTGATAGCTCGACTGAGCCGTATACGCTATCGATGGATCATATGCGATATAAAAGCGCTGAGCATTTGTTTTTTGTACATAAGCTTTCACTGTAAAACGGGAGAGTTTCACTCATAATCAATGAAGTCAATATCACACCAAAAAGCATTACTAGACAATGCGTCAGGTTTTAAGCAGTTATTTACCTTAGAGAAGCAATGCTAATCGTTGCTGTGGTGGCCGAGTGGTTAAGGCGTTGGACTTGAAATCCATTGGGTTATACCCGCACAGGTTCGAATCCTGTCCACAGCGAGGCTCCTAAGCCCCTCAACTTTTTCTACACAAACTCCATGTGCCTCTGCCAATTACAAGGAGCAATTACGACTGACCGAGTTATCACAAATTGCTCTAACTAACAAACACATCGTTTGTCAACAGAGTTCATTGAAAATTCTTCTATAGCTTTCCTGTCTTCAGCGCGACGCATTTGGCTGATCGTGGAAGAGGAAAAATCCTGAAAGATGGAGTAATGTTCAATGGACTCTTTCATTAACAGAATGGTATAACATTAATTCTTTACCACGAGAACATGCGTAGTCGAACACATGTTCCAACTTAGTCGAAAATCATTAACAGGGTCACTTGTAAATAGGCGAATTCAAACGCACTCAGCAGAAACATCCGCAACTGCACAAACCATATACGAGAATACACACATTTCTAAGGACCAATATATCACGTAGGTACAGTAGGTATAGAAATGGCTTCGAATCAGGTTTAGTCGATGCGATGAATACGCTGAGCCCCGTCGGAATTTCTCACCTTTTATACTTTGAAAATAAGTACGTACTAGCAAGTCCGTCCTCAGACATACCGTTTACGAAAGAGTTCGCCCTATGAGTGTTTAAACTTGACTACGTCGAACCTGCATAATGTGACCCGTGGAATTTTTATTTAGCGAAGCTTTCGGGAATCTGTTCCCGTCTTCAGCACATGAGTAATCACGTAACTAAAATTTTCAACTAATTCGCTGCTCTACATTGCTTTGAAGATAAAAATAGGGCCTTGTTTGCTACAGATCTCCAATCCTACTGTAACGTGAAAAATGCAGGTTCCTTTCTAGCAAGCGGCATATATAGGCGAAATATGGGCGCTGTCATTCGATTCAGGCTTATCTAAAGGCAGAACAGGGTGGCCGGAAAGATTACCGTATGACTACGGTCGCATAATGGACAAGTTCCGACAGATAGACTGAGCGGCCGAAACAAAGCGAAAGGAAGCGTTTTTTCAAGTAACGCTAAACTGCAAACTACATTTAACTAATGCTTGTACGATGATGATATAAAATCCCCTGGTCTTGTTTCCAAGAATCCTGAAGCAACCCAGCGTAGACAAAATGCAGGTTTCCTTCGGGAAAGTCCCCATTCCGTTCTGCCCTAACTGATTGCCGCTGCGGCCTCCCTGCGCAAACCTCGCTTAAAGGTAGGTCTTACATTTCGCCTTGGGCTTTGGTAAGCGTAGAACAGGAAGGCCAGCAACGCAAACCGTCTTATACTGCATTTGCCGATCTTTCTGCTGTGCGCTTACCTAAGCTAGCACCGTGCATAAGGGTTATGTTTCGGGTTTGGCTTAGATAAAGGCATAGCAGGATGGCACTCATTTCTCCGAAAACGAACCTGCATTTGTGGATTACTGTAGGCAGTTTTAGGGGCTCCGCGAAAGAACACCAAAAAATGTAGTTTTCTTCGCCTCTGAGGGAAAGCATCCCCTATCTGCAGAACGTGTAGGAAAATACGCAGCATCTTTGCGAAAATACGCGTCTAAGGTTTCTCTACAACTTCAGCGTTAACCTATATCGTGCACCTGAAGTTAGGGGGATGATGTGACTATTACATCATGGAAAGCAAGATGAGTCAGAAAACCAATGACGCTCACGCGGCCGCGCAGCAAAACTCTTCATTTCTTGAATCGTAGTTTTCTTTACTAAGCTCTGTTCAAATCACAGGGAAACCTGTTTAATAAACCAAATTTGGACAAGAGTAACAACGAAGCGCGCGCACATTCCGCGCATTCACCTTTCAACAGTGTCGTAGCCACAAAACATCGGAACTATTTCCATCCAGAACAAACCATTTCGGCTATAAGCGTTTCTTCAAACCCGTCCCAGCATTGGGTGCGAATCTTGGGCCACGTTCAACCTCTGTTCAAACGGGGTAGCGGAAAGATTTATAAAAAGTCGCCTAACAGCTCACGATTCGCCTCCAGAGCTTCCTCTTTCCTAATTTTCTTCGGAAATCACCGGATTTCGACCAATCCATTACTTATCGTCCCTGTCAGTCTCCATATCGTTGGGCAATCAGGATGGGCTCGTACTGCTTCTGATTTTCAGTATGTTGTTTTCGGTTTCTTCAGTGGTCTTGGGAAGTCGTTTGCCAAATCAGTGTTTTCAAGTGGCAAGTCATTGAGCAATAACTGCCAGTTAGCACATATCATAACAGCATTGGCGTCAGATGCGAACTGTAATGTCTGCGCCGTGGTGGAAGGTAAACAGGCATACCGCTGTAGAATGGTAGCCGTAACCTGTCTCCAACATATTGCTGGTGCGACTCACGCAGTTCTGGCATTCAGCTTCGCCACACCAATATTTTCACGTTGAAACTCGTTCAGGATGGTGAACAACGGCTGAATATCGTCTCTCCAACACGCCGCTGTAATGTCTGCGCCGTGCTGGAAGCTAAATAGACATACCGCTGTAGAATGGTAGCCATAACCTGTCTCCAACATATTGCTGGTGCGACTCACGCAGTTCTGGCATTCAGCGGTGGTGCTTCGCCAAACCAATATTTTCACGTGGCAACTCGTTCAGGATGGTGAACAACGGCTGAATATCGTCTCTCCAAAACGCCGCTGACCAGCAAGGAAGAATGCCCTTCCTGTCTGGCCCTTCGGAAAATATCGTTACTCTTGCATATCATATCATCAGCCCAACGACCAGCAATTTCTGATATGAAGCTGTTGGCTGCAGTTGCAAAGCGCAACTCGGCTGTACTCCAACTTCTGTTTAGTTCAATATCTTCTTGGCTGATTATTCGCACTCATCGCGCATATCGTAACGTCAACTGGCTCATAGAACAGCCGACAGAGTCGCAACGCAAGCACTCTTTCCGCTACAAAGCCAACCGCATCTGCAAGAAGCACCAACAGTAAGCATATGTACTTGCGCATCATAAAATCTAAACTACCTGATTATCAAATAAAGTTATATTTCAAATTTTGTCATGCAGTGTGGTGACTTCCGGCGATATCATTTCACTTTTTACTCAAGCTTGCTGTAGTTCTTCTGTTTAATTATTTCCCGTAGAGCAGAGCCCTTACTAGGCATAGTGTGCAGCCAACTGGATGGAGTCAACCAGACTTCTCTACCCGTTACCACTCTGCGCCCTCTGCCAGACGTTGCTGTTTTGTAGGAGACGGGGTCAACTACAGAAGCTACATTGCCGGCTAGTCCCTAGAGACAATCTGTATTTTCATATAGAGCACCTAATTACCATAAGTATACACACATCTTTACTGTACAAGGTATCTATAGCGTCTATTCGGTCAACACGTATGAGTACCGTACATATGGCATAGACGCACCACAGACGATGTAAATGCTACCTATACGGGGTATTTAGTTTACGTATGGGATATAATGGAATGCACACGCTGTTCATGGGGTACATACATGGAAACCCTAAAAACTGGATATCGATCAGCAGAAACAACGTCAGCAGAAGCCTTTTCAAGGAATGCCTTATACTGTAGGTAATGCAGGTACGATAGAAAAATGCAGGTAAAAGTTAATTCCTGTTCGCCCGCTGAGTCATTTACTCGCAGCTCGGCATCTGCCGCATGCACTGCATGAAGGTATCGAAGTCCAAAGTGGAAGTAACAGAAAGCATTCAGTATCTACAGAATGGTTAAGGAAAGGCAGCATGTTTCCAAAAACATTAGGTTTCATTCATTGCCATCAGCGTTAGAATGCGTAATAGCATTGAAGACGAGTCACCAAAATTACTATTACATCAGACTGGGTAACAGCAATGCGCTTGCGAGGGTCAAAGAAGGAGTTATGCTTTAGCGGAAGAAAACTTGCTGCGCAACGCAGGCTGTCGTTTAAATCGTAAATTATGAAGCTGACTAAACAAATGAAAGGCAAACCCGTTTAATGCAGTATATTGTACAAGAACAATAATGAAGACAGCGAAACGAAGCGCGTCCACGTCGTGCGCGCTCAATTCCAGGAATAGCACAGGACGCATAAGAGTAGGAGCGCTTACTTGCAGAACAAGGCCCTTCCATTGCATTTCATTTTCCCAAACACTGCCAGAGCTATGAGCACCACTTCTGGGCCATCGTCAACTGGGTATGAAACAGGGGCAGCGGAAAAGGCCTATGAATATGGTATACCAAGTCTCAACTGCTTTCCAGAGCTCCCCGTCAACCAATGTGCTTTCTTTGCATTATCACTACTAGATATCACCCAAGCCACTCACGTGCCGCTTCCTGTTAGGCCCCATATCGTTAGGCATCCAAGGACGGGCTGTAGTAACGTGTTCGCCTTTATTCACCTTCGCCTTTGGGAAGCACTCCGTCTGCTAATGCCATCGTAGCCAACTTGTTTACCAAACAATAGCAGCTGGCGCATATCATAAAGATAACTGGCTGCAGATGCCTACCATGAAAGTCTGCGCCCATCCCAAAAGTCAGCGGACATACTGCTCCTGTTTTGTATCATACAACTGCGC